ACTGTTTTCTTTAAAAACGCCTCAATATCAAAGCGGAACTATGTTTCAGTTCATTGTAGTTTTCCTTCCGGGCAGAATTTACAGAGGCGCTCGTTATATGACCTGAGAGAATCACGCCTGTTATGAAGAAACCCTGAAGATGTCAAAAGTCTGCCTGCATTTATCACGGTTTTCTTTGGGTCATGATGTTTTTACAAGCAGAACACTTGTGAATTTAAGGTAAGTGGATAATTTTTCTTGTATAGGTTATTAAATAACCATCATTTACCTCAGTAGAACTTATGCAACCAATTTGCTTTGTATGGTACATTAATTAAAACAAGCCTTTAATTAATTGAAACGTATTCAAATTGTTTTTGAACAGAATTCTGACCGATTTTTCTTTAAACACTCTTAAATTCTAAGCTGACCCTGGCTAGAGGGATCTCGGTGTAAATTACATTTTATTGTTTTTAGCAAATACAAGCACCACAGAATATTAGAAATAAATGCAATGCTATTTCTGGCATTTTTAAAGTAAAGTTTCATTAAATCTTTATCTCTGTAGACCATGCGCCACAAGGATGCTGTCCTTAACATCACAGCTTAATGCAAAGTCCAGAAAACTTCCAGATGATAATGAAGCATCCAAACCCATCCAGTTCTCAACCAGCAAAGCCAGCCACCGAAGCTGGAAAGTGGACCGTTCGATGGGCAGCAGCTACCAGCGGCCCTGGTGGAAGGTTCTGCCCATCAGCCTCGTTGGAGTGGGCTTCGTCGTCTGGTGCATTTTCAGGAGAGAGACCGAGATCGACGAGTCTCTGGAGAAAAACCTCCATGAACATTTACCAGGACTGCTGTTCGATGAAGAACAGGAGGGAGTCGGCGTCAAAAACAAACCCTCATAGTGGCTTAGAAGGGACATTTTCAAGTTGGAATGTTTATTTATTGTTCAATGAGGAATTTTCTCAAAACTGAGAATTATCAAATTGTCTGTCCACATTCTGTGCTCTTGAAAGTGGCTGTATTAAACCGGATCATCTGTAGCTTGATTTATATTGAAGATTGTAAAGCCAGTAGCATTGTATTGTAAGCAAGCATAAAGGAGAAGTCTGAATTGTAATTGTGGTGCGACTGCTAGTTTAAATGTAAACAGGGAACCATTATTGAACACACTGAAAGTCACCATTGAAAACATACTACTTCAGCTGCAAAATAAACTAATTTTAGCATTATATAATCAAAGTGGGCATGTAAAGATCACTTGATATGGTTTACAGATCATAGAAAGTGAAACCTAATTACGGCTTTCAAAACATGACTTGTGTAAACAAGTGAATCAATCTAAAATCAGGTTAAATGTTGTACTGCTCAAAGGGTTTCAAAAAGGTGTGCTTTTCTGTTATTCTTACAGAGACAAATGTTTAAATTAACTTGCTACTAGCGTCGGTCACTAAAGCAACACTATTAGGACCTAAAATGGATTTAGCAAAAGTTTGTAGAAGTCAAATGAAAACCACACAGCACCTTAAACACTGCTAAAGCCAAAATAATGAACTGCAAACAACACTGAGGTAGTGGAAAGTTTATTTACAACCAAATGGCCACAATAGAAGAGAAACCCAATATAATAACAATAGAAATAAAAGCACACATTCTAATTCATCATGAAGCATGCAGACTAGGCAGAGGTATATGAAAGTCTAAAATACAAACTTTAAAACCCTGAGGAGCTCCCGGAATGTTCTGACGCTGCCCCCCTACTATCAACTTGAACCACACAATACCCCTCCCCTACCACAACTACCAAAAAAAAAACAAAAAAAAAAACTACACAGGCATTTATTGTCAAGAGTGTAAGAACCCTGATGTCCCTCCCACCCAACCCTCCCACACATCAAACCCCGCCCCCATATATTCCTCCACACAAAAAAAAAAGTTAGAGTAAATAGTAAAGAGAGTTTAAGCGCGCTCTCCACGGATTCGACGGGCCAACTGGATGTCTTTGGGCATGATGGTGACACGTTTGGCGTGGATGGCGCACAAGTTGGTGTCCTCAAACAGACCCACCAGGTATGCTTCGCTTGCCTCCTACAAACCAGAGCGAGAAAACGTTAGGAGTGACCAAACAAAAAGAAAGTGTGAGGTAGATCTATAAACAACCCAGAACTAGAAAACACACCTGCAAAGCACCGATGGCAGCACTCTGGAAGCGCAAGTCGGTCTTGAAATCCTGAGCGATCTCACGAACCAGGCGCTGGAACGGAAGCTTGCGGATCAGCAACTCTGTGGACTTCTGGTACCGACGGATCTCACGAAGAGCCACAGTTCCAGGACTGAGGGGGAAACGAGCACAAAACAATACATTGATTTGCTGTTATTATGATAATGCATGAAATGCACTGAGGAGAAAGCAAAGTACATTGTTGTTTAATTAACAATCATGTACATTCATTACCATGCATATACTGAATACATAACTGTTACATTGAGTCTATACACAATATAAACATACAGTAAATACACAATATACACGTATATAAAATTCAGTATATACACAATACGCATATACAACACATCCATACAGTATGTACAAAACAACGTATACACAAATTATTAAGCATATATATACACATATATAATTATATTGTGTGTACTGAATATATGTAGAGTACACATGTAAAATATTTTATATATTCTACATACACAATTATATATATATATAATTTATAGTTTGTGTTTAACACCATGCCAGCTTCTGTGGCTATTTTCATTGCAAGAATTTAGAATAAATTTTAGGTTTTTACATTTTTTTGCTAAAATAATCTTAACACTGCATCTGGCTCAACTCTGTTAAAAATCTCTTCAAAAGTGTTAACCGAGTTTTCTAGCATATTTATAGATATTCAGCTTATACACCAATTCTTGTATATATAAAAAACTAATTCTCTCATCTATGTACTGTAAATATTTACAATTTCATGCATTTTTAATTTTAAACATAAAATACAGTATATAAAACACATTATCTTGTATACATACAATATATAAAACGATTTACATATATTGTGTATATAGTGAATATATATCGTCGTGTATACACTGAATAACATTCAGTACGTACACGATAATATATAAAACCTCCAGTGTATACAGGTAATAATGATAAACAATTATCCATCCATCTACTACTACTACACGTGCTCAGTGTTTCTCACCGGTATCTGTGGGGCTTCTTGACTCCACCGGTGGAGGGCGCACTCTTCCTGGCCGCCTTGGTGGCCAGCTGCTTCCTGGGGGCTTTACCACCGGTGGATTTACGAGCGGTCTGTTTAGTACGTGCCATGGCACTCTAATGAAGCGGCCTAAAGAGACACAAAAACCGATAAGAACAACAGCCGCGGGGAATTCCGCGCGCCATGACGCCATCCACAACAAAACTCCCGCCCAATAATACAGTCATGCAGAAACATTTAATGTTTAGGAAAAGGACACCATGGCAACAATATCCTAAAGAAGCACTTTACAACATGGGGGCGCCATTGAGGAGATTAAAGCTAAATGGATACTTAAAGGTAAACGAGCTGGTAAAATATAAAACTATAATTCTATAAACGCTGCACTTTTATTAGTTAAAGTATATTCAAAGTCGCATATGTATACAAGTAGAAACGCGTGTTGCTGTGGAGAATCAATAACCTGAACAACTCACAGTGGGACACTGGGTCACACACACACACAACGGAGTCCCATTCAACACACACACACACCACCTGAAGGCAAAAATCTTCAACGGCAGCGACTTTCACTCAACCATTCAGCAACTGGTACTACATACACGCCACGTTCCCTTTAATTACGGCGAAAGAGATGAGAAACCACCGGTAAATTGAGCTGTGGAAGCTCTGATTAATGCAGTAGTGAAGTCCACCATCTCAGGACGAGACAGAGACACGTTTCTGCTTTTATGTGTAACATGGCGCCCAAGAAAACCAATTACAGACTTTTCTTTGTCTACACCGACAACTCAGTGACTGTCACCTGAAAGCGGTTAAATAGAAAACGACGCGTATCGTGACTAACTTACGTATTAAAAACAGAAATTTAAAGGTAAAAATAGTGTACGAACTTCTGAGATAAAGCAGAAGTAAATATGAGCTCGCCCTCGTTAGCTTAGCTTGTTGCTACCGCGACAAAAATCATCTAAAATCGCCGTATATGAATCTAAACACAAAATGCAGACTAACGAGATTTTCTGTTATAAAAGGTCTTAAAACACGATACTCAAAAGACTAAACACACCATAAGATAGTTTCTGTTGGTTTAACACCGACCGTTAACGACACTTACGATTTTTTGTTTCGAATAATCCGTCAAACCCAAAACAAGGGACGTCGGTCACGGACAGAACAAGCTGCCCTGTATTTATACAGTCAGTGACGTCGTGCGCAGGTTAAGCCACGCCCACGCCGACTCTCATTGGCTGGAGCAGCGAGGGGCAGATTTACTCTTATTTAGTATTTATTTATAATAGTTTTAGCACGGTTTTGATGTAATTGTAAACGGCTTTTCGGTCTGTTTCTGCAGATTGAAACTGTTTTTAAATTTCAAATGGCGTTATATGAACGTTTAATTAACAATCTTCGTGAAACATCTATGCTTTCAAAATCCTTCCATTTCTCGCCCTGAACCACTTTGGTGTGGATTACATAACCATGTAAAAACAACCGTCCCATACGGTTCCTTTTAATAATAGCGAATACAAAACATTATTGGTAAATTATTACGAGAATCGTTGCTTCGCAAACAATGACGAAAAAATACATTGCTTTTGAGATCCAGTATGTTTTAGTGCGGTCTTTGTGTCACCATTGCCTAAAAAGGAGGGTAAATTTTATTGTGCTGCAGTAGGAACCTTTAGAATGGTAAATGTGTTGCCGGCGGAGCTCCTTGTTTGGTGCACACATATGGGATTTCCACACATGCATAGCTAAATACTCTAAATATATTTGAAAATCCAACGCTTCGAGCAGAAGTAGTTAATCGATTCTATCACATTTATAGTTTTCCTTAAGCGCTGCACGCTCGATAGGTGATCGTTAATGGGGTTTTTTTCATAGGAAAGAACAGACAGCGATTTATTTGTGTTATCATAAGATTCAAACCTCAGCTATGGCAGAGGAATCAACTGGAACAGGTAAGATTTCACTACAAACCATATCAGATGAATATATTGAATTTACGTGTTATTTTGCAGACTTTTATATTGAATTGCACTGTATGACTTATTAGCATGCAATCTAAGGGGCTGATAAATGCTCTGAAAAAGCTCTAAATTTGTTCATGCTTTCCAGAAACAACCAGAATACTGGAAAACGAGAAAAACACGGATGGCCAGAGTGGCGAGGACCCCAAAACAACAGCCCAAAAAGCTGACACTCCTACCAATGCTAAAAAACACAAGAAGAAGAAAAAGAAAACAGGTGACGGAAAAGATAATCAACAGAAAGGGGTAAAAAGCAATGAGGAAACACCCAAACAAGAGACCACAGAACTGGTAAGCACATACACATTTGCATATATATATATATATATATATATCTGTTGTGTTTATATCTATAAGCTGTGGCAAAGACAAATAAATAATTTGACTTTATAACTGTGTTAGACTCCTGATGAGCTGCTGAGTCGAGAGTTGGATTGGTGCATCGAACAGCTCGAGCTCGGCCTGAGAACTCAAAAAACCTCCAGCAAACAACGTGAGTGAGACGACACAACAAATATAACATCTATATATATTACACAAACTCAGGTCAGAAGAAAGTTGTTTTTATTGTTGTTATTGTTTGTTTTTGTGTTATGTTTGCTAATTTTTGTGTAATAGGACCCCCTTGAAAACAAGATGCTGCATCTCAAGGGGTTTATCCCAAATAATACATATAAGTAAGTTGAAAAGAAACCCTCACCTTCTGTTTTGTTTACACATATGTCTCCATTTAGGGGAAGAAGCGAGACGCGCTCTGAAGACGTTACACAGCTCCAAAGCTCCCTTGGTGAAGAAGAGGCAGGTAATGCGAGCGGTCTCTGGAGACTACAGGAAGAAGATAGAAGAGGAAAGAGCCAGACAGTTTAAACTCATACAGTCAGGTAAGGCAGTGGCAAAAATGTACATTCATGTCTAAAAAAAATTTTTTTAATTAAAGGGCAGCTATAATATTTGTTAACTAATTAGTTTCTATTGTTACATTATTGATATTTAATTTAAAAACTATTTATATATATTAAAATAAATGTATTATACATTTATTTTAAATCAAATGTTTATTTATATTTAATAATTAAATTTTTTTTTTAGAATTAATCTTAATGTGTATTTATTTATTTAGGTAATTAGAACTTTATTTTTAATTATTTATTTTGGCAGTTTTACGGGGGGGGGGTTTTCCCAAAAAACTTTCCCACAGAACCCATTTAAAAAAAAAAACTGCCTTCCAATAT